CTCCATCCCCTTCCTCAACCCATCCCTTATCTCAAGCTCCTACCCCATCCTGACCCCAATAACCCATCCACTCCAAGCTCCATCCCTTCCTCAACCCAACCCTTATCTCAACTCCTACCCCATCCTGACCCCAATAACCCATCCACTCCAAGCTCCATCCCCTTCCTCAACCCAACCCTTATCTCAACTCCTACCCCATCCTGACCCCAATAACCCATCCACTCCAAGCTCCATCCCCTTCCTCAACCCAACCCTTATCTCAACTCCTACCCCCATCCTGACTGCAATAACACATCCACTTCTAGTTCCATCCCCTTCTCAAACCCAACCCTTATCTCAACTCCTACCCCCATCTTGACCCCAATAACCCATCCACTTCAAGCTCAACCCCTCCTAAACCTTACACGTATCTTATCTCCTACCTCATCTTGACCCCAAAAACCATCCACTTCAAGCTCCAACTCCTCCTAAACCCAACCCTTATCTCAACTCCTACCCCCATCCTGTCCCCAATAATCTGCCATTTAGCTGGAATATTGCTGAGTTTTGCGTAAAACTAAACTCACTCACTGTCCCCAATAACCCATCCACTTCTAGCTCCATCCCTTCTCAAACCCAACCCTTATCTCAACTCCTACCCCCTTCCTGTCCCCAATTATCCATCCACTTCGAACTCCAACCTTTCCTCAAAGCCCTATTACCATCCCGACACCATCAATCAATCCATCAATTAATCAGCCACAGTCAAAGCTATTTGAACCATTTACATCATTGAGGCAACAAGATCATATTCACAAATGCTGTTAAACAATACCCTTCATTGATAACTTATACCAATAGCAATAATCTATTCATTGTATGATATTATACATAATTAACAATAAATAATGCAACTGTGTCTGCTTCTATGTACATCTGTATATTGAATTTGTAATTAATCTGATGTCCGCTGTATGTGTAAGCCAATGTTGCAATGAAGCATTGCTTTGTTTTGTGTGTATTGGTACCAAATTCACATATACTACACAAAAAATGAAGGAGCACCCGTTCTTTAATAGTGTTGTTTAACTTTTTTGAGTAGTATATATATATGTATGTTACAATGAGTAGTATTTTCATAGGACAATGTTTGATATCCCAAAACATTATTAGACATTTAGTATGAACCCTGCCTATCTCCAAACCAACAATATTGTATTTATATCTCATTTGTGTCGAACTCATTTGAGAGTAATAAAGGCAAATTTATATACAGGCAAACACTTTTGTGTCGAAGATGAAGGGGCCGACTGTTGTATAGGCCATGCTGCACATGAAAGGCTTTATTCCTTACACAGGTGCACACCTAAATCAGATTACCTGTTTACTTGAAGCTCAGAACTGAAATATACTGAGGGAACAAAAAAAGGGAACACATAAAATTACATGTGGTGCTTAATTATTTTTTTACATATTTTTCTTTGCAGGCTTTTTAATGCACTGTGGGTGAAAATCTGAAAATGATATAGGAACAATGTGATGAAGTGGTGTTCCCTTATTTGTTTATCTGAGTATATGACTGTGACGGACATTACACTACATGAGGGTGAAAACACGACATCTCTGTGAACTCTTTGTGTTATCTAAGGTTCGACACAAACACAAGTTGTGACTAAAGAAAGAATCCATAGGGACCAAGCTTTCCCTGCAAGACACCCATCAAAGTTTGACACAACAGTGTGTGACTGTATTCATTCATCACGGTATTTCACTATAACAGCAGTAATAATACAATAACTGAGCAAGTTTTCTGCTGCTTCTAGTGAAGGGTAAATAGTGGTGATGGTATCATTATCAGTGGAGAAGAAATCACTGGGGTAATTGTTCACAGAGGTTCACTGTCTGGTTTCAAGCAATTTGTTTTTTATCTCACAAACAGAAGAGTTGCAAAATGCCAACAGTGAATCTGCTGACATGGGTGTGATTTATGGAAATATTGGGCAGGTGACATTCATATCGTCTCCAGCCTACATGTATTTGGGCAGCAAGTGTCATAAACATCCCACTATGCATCAAAAACTGTATAAAGCCTGGGTAATAACTTCAGCAGGTAGACATGGTCGTACTGACACAATAAGAGAGAGTGTTGGAAACTAGAGCATGTGGAACGTCAATGATAAGTACCCCTGCCGTCTAGTGCTGTTTGCCTCGGGTCCCTGGCTGTGACGCACTAGCGCAGATCTGTAGATCAACACAGCGATACACAGCGATCACTCCCTATCTCTGTGGGACTTTAATGATTACGGTCATTTGTTATTGCAAACTGGATGCAGATTATTGTAAACAAGCATCAGGTAACTCCACACTTTTTAATTACATTAATTGTAATGGTACAGTTTTGGCTATTGGAAAATGGGTGTGTATGCAATGTGTAAACTTGACTGCAGATTTTATAGTGTGTTCATGCAATATAAAGGAAATACTGGCATGACTATGTATAACATGTAAATAAGACTGCAGACTTTCTAGTTTGTTGTTGAGATATACGGGACTGGCATGAGACTTAAAATCTAGTTTGTTGTTGAGATATACGGGAAATACTGGCATGAGTGTGCATAACGTTAAAATAAGATTGCAGAGTTTGTAGTTTGTTGTTGAGATATACGGGAAATACTGGCATGAGTGTGTATAACGTTAAAATAAGACTGCAGAGTTTGTAGTTTGTTGTTGAGATATACGGGAAATACTGGCATGAGTGTGTATAACGTTAAAATAAGACTATAGACTTTGTAGTTTGTTGTGATGTATACGAAAAATATTGGCTTGACTGTATATAACTTGAAAATAAGACTGCAGACTTTCTAGTTTGTTGTTGAGATATATACAAGACATTTTGGCATAAGTGTGTATAACTTTTAAATAAGACTGTAGACTTTGTAGTTTGTTGCTGTGATATGTAGGACATATTAGCATGAGCATGTATGTCTTGTAAATAAGACTCAAGACTTTCTAATTGTCGTTTTCTTAAATAGGAAAATTTTCTTTCAGCTCTGAAAATTTTAGTATGACTGTGTACAACTTAAAACTATGGTTAGTAACTTGAGCCATGTTTGCCTGTTCTTATCATAAAAGGTAATTATTGAGATAACTTTGAAATATTAGCATGACTATATTCATCAACATCAAACAATGAATATGTCAGCGATACCTAAACAATGCTAGTTTCATATCATCTCAGGTAAAAATTTCTAGATCAATTTCAATTTTGCACATGTTTGAACATTGAGTCATGTGACTGATATTAATTTAAATAATAGAAAATAGGTCTTGTAGAATTAATTGTAACTTAGGATTCATTGTATTTGAATCATTTGCATTAACGCCCGTAGTTGTTCAATATTGTTTTGCATAACATTTCACACTAATGAAAAGTGATATAGTGATAGGCTGTGGTATTTATGTATTGTATATATATCCAGCTGTGCATCGATCGGCCTGTATCATCACATGGGTCACAAGGTTGAGTTGACCTGATGGTGTAGTATACCTATATATTTTACCCGGTCGTACTCCATGTTGCACGTCCCTGCAGACTACGCAGTAGCAGCATCTGACACCACTGGGCTGCATCGTAAATACTTCCTTGGCATAATGCTGGAGTTGTTTTTGTTTTTTTTATAAAGGGCTAAACAAATTAATAAGCCTTGGTCTGGACTTAGTTTGCATCCATTCTGTACAATTCGGCAAATATATGATTAAGATATTTCAGCACATTTACGATTCATCCATGTGAGGTAATATATTACTTGTTATATCATTATTTATACATCTGATATGTTGCAGTGTGTAAATAACTGATATATCTCAGCACAGATATAATAAAATTTATTTCAGCCTAAATTATTTTAGCATCTATACAGTATATATGAATTTCGTCACCTATACAATATCCATTAATTAATGTCATCACACATACAATTAATTCATCTCAGTACCAATACAAGTAATGAATTTCAGCACCTGTACAATTTGTTTATATTAGTACCTGTACAATGCATTAATTTCAGTACCTGTACGATCCATTATAATTTCAACAGATATACAGTTCGCCAATTATGCACTTGTAAAAGAAATATTTTGGACAACACAGCACCATTTTGTCAAGGACAGGGTCAGATTAAGCTTCTCTCCTACCTGTTATCTACAGAGTTTGTAAACACAGGTGATAGTGGCAGCCTCAAGGCTGGCCAGTCAGGCATGTCAGCCTCCATGTCAGCTGGCCCTGCTGGGAGTACACACACAAAGTGGCTGGGCTTTACTGGATGGTGTAGAGTGAGTGAGTGAGTGAGTGAGCGAGTGAGCGAGTAAGTGAGGTAGTGAGTGAGTGAGTGAGTGAGTTTTACGTCGCTTTTAGCAATATTCCAGCAATATCACGGTGGGGCACACCAGAAATCTTCTTCACACGTAGTACCCGTGTGGGGAATCGAACCCAGGTCTTTGGCATGATGAGTGAACGCTTTAACCACTTGGCTACTCCACCACACCATAAATGGGCAGTCACTTTTGCATGTCTCAAGGAGCAGCACTTGAATTAAGCACCGACTTAGTCTCTGAAATTAGATATTGTTAATGGAAACACATAATTGTATTAAGATTGAACAACAGCCTTTGAATTCGGAGATTCCTGAGGAAGTCTAGACTTCATTTACGGCTTTTGCATTACAGAAAGGGCTGGGTTGAAGAGAAACATATATGGTTCAGGGACTGTGAGAGATACTGGGTGTGAAAGAGCACACTAAAAGGGGCTGCTGAGTTTTGCATGTGTTAGAGAGCAGAACTTAGATTGGGTACTGACTATTACATGTGTCAAAGATCAAAATTTAGAATGGGTGCTGAATTTTGAATGTGTCAATAACAGCTCTTATCCAAAGCTCTTGTATCTGATGCTGCAAACCAGTTTATGTTCTGCTTATTTTGTTAATTTGTTTTCACCGTACATGACATTTCGATTTTATTTTCAGATAAGTATGCAGTCTCCATTGTTTGGTGAGATTCTGGTGAAGAAGACGGGTGGAAAGGATATGAAGGCAAGAATGTTGTGATCAGACGACCTTCACCTTAGTGTCACACACAGCAGACGTCATGTCAGGGTGGACGAGTTTAACAGGATACCTCAGCTTTAAGCCAGGTGGAGGTAGGAACATACTGCTCTAAAGTCTTAAAGAATTCAAGGAATTGATGGTTCTATCGTGTCACAAGATGCCACTGTTACAGCACTGTAAATCCCAATACAGAGTTCCTTCCCTTAGTTGTATCAGAATCTGCTGATCATTTGGTCCAATTCGAAACTCATCTTGACTCTTGGCTCATTCGCCAGACCTTTATCATTTCTTGCCTTATGGATTAAAAAATGATATATGATAACAAAATTGTAAGATTCTTTTTTTTTTTTTTCAACCAATCTTTATTCAGAACTGAAGGCCACAGGCCCATAGTACAGGTATATACAAAATTCAAAAGTAGAGTGGGTTTCTCTTCAATATCGCATGGTATATGAACAAAGCAATATTTTCAATCAATATACGATTAGAAGTTGACAACAGTTGGATGAATTTATGTTTTGACGGTTGTTTCGTAAAGTAACTGGGTATATATTTGCTTCTAATGTTTCTATAATAATCACAAATTAGCAGAACATGGTATTCATCTTCCAAGACATTCATTTTACAGTATCTGCACACAGTAGATTTCTTATGAAATTTTCCCTTATAACAACTTAAATCATAATAAACGGAACGAAACTGTGATAAGGCTAGTCTTACTTTCTTGATTTCAAAATGCCTATCAGTGTCTTACTATGTTGCCATCTGTTTAGAATTAGTTCAACTTGAACCATTGTTTTAGCAAAATTACTTTGGCAGTAAACCAAACCCACTCACTCAGTACCGGTAAGTTACTCATTAGGGTTAGTGATATCAGCGAACCGATTCTGATAAATAAATTCCGATTTCCATAAAAACTTTAACTGTAACGTAATCTTAGTGAACTAATGATGCATAAGGTTATATCCAACTGAATAATCTCATCCAATAATTCTGTTCAGCCAGCCATATACTATTACATAATTATTGACTTCCATCTTTATACAATAACCATCTATGAAGCTATATGGCACGTTGACTCAAACATTTCAAAATTGGAATATTGACCGAAAGCTGTACATCCACGAAGGGAGAGCTAATTGTTCGCAAGGTGCTGCAAGAATCTATCACCACCTGTTGACAGGGGAACGGTATTTTAACAAAGACGACAGTGGTATACTGTGACAATAACATTTCCATCATGAAGCGAAGACATCGAAACAGGCGACTTGCCATGGATATTTTTAAAGAATATTTTCGGACCCACATACCTGTGAGGGCACGGTTCCTTACGATTGAGTTTCCTCCTCTAGTGATTCCTGTGTTTGGAGGTAAGATCGAAAATATGGACTAAGTATTGATCTGTGAGTCATTTCTCCAAATGGCAAAGACCTGGATGTAGGATAGACCATATGGATTTGAATTTTTAGAATAGAGATATTGTTTAGATTCAACTGTTACATTTGTTACAAACTATATAGTTATATATTTTCAAATAACAAAAAGTTCATGTAAATCTTGACCATGTCCTCATCAATCAATATCAGAAATGAAAACTTCTCCAAATAATATTTTCGGTTCAATTTTCTTGATACTTAAAAGTGCCAAATATGATGGTCACAAGTAGAGTTTGGGAAAGTCTGTCTGCTGGTGAAGACAGTTTTGATATAAAATGGCTGACGTGTGTGAAGGAAGTCCTGATTGTGTCTGCTGCATTGACTACACGTGGACATTGTGACATCAGCTTATATTGGACATCTACCAGGAACCGATATTGGTGTTTATTAATTCATTGTATGGAAAGGAATCCTACACTTTGATGCCAAATACAGCTGTAATAGCTCCGTATGCAGAGATGTAACTATACCGTCACGTGACTTTCCGCCACCAGGTGGACTTGACATAGCTGTCTGTCCTGAAACACCTAATATCTTTATAAAACAACAACAGAAAAATAATTTGATGTAATGGCATATCAACGCTCTTGTCTTATGAAAGCTTTACCCAAAAGATCACAAGAGATAGTGTCATTGATATCAATGTCTTTATTTCGTATTCAAAACGTTTCCACGCTATTCCTTGTCCCTGCATCAGATGAAATTGTAAGTTTGCCTCATGAAAGGGCAAGAAGATCTAAAGTAGCCCTAAAACATTGGGTTTGTAGGATAAAGAAGTTGGTATTTTTAAAAATGCTCTTTTCAACTGATACACCAATGGCCTAATGACCTTAAAGACTTTTGAGCAAAAGGTGTTTGATTGGAGTACTGGTACCAGAGTTAGTTCTGGATAATCTGAATGTTTACTGGTCTGTTGTATAGAGGAGCTGACATAGTTTACCTGTGTCTCACCTGCCGGTCTGACTAAATCCATGATGATGGCAATAAACAGGTTTCCGTGGTGTGTCACCTGTGTGGGCCATAAACCTGGAATGTATGCACGACCTCAATATGTGGGACTTGGCAGATTGCAGGGCTTCATACCACGACCATGTCGACCATCATCCATGCTATCAAACACACATTTTTTTATCTGTTTTCAAAATTTTCAAACATTAAAAACCCAAAAGACAGAAATTAACTTTGTTGTGAATGTTTTACGATACTAGAGTGAGTGAGTGAGTTTAGTTTTACACAGCTTTTAGCAATATTCCAGCAATATCACCATGGGGGACACTAGAAATTGTCTTCACACATTGTACCCATGTGGGGAATCGAACCCAGGTCTTCGGCATGACAAGCGAATGCTTTAACCACTAGGCTACCCCATCCCCCTGTGAGTTTATTAGAGCGAGACATAATAGGGATGTTGGTGTCTGACCACAGGAGGTTGCCAGCCAGATTATTTGACGAGCAAACACTTTAACCACTAGGCTACCCCACCGCCCCTACTATACAAGAGCATTTCCCAGTTCTAAATCATTATCTAGGTCAGTGTCATGATAATGTCCTCAAAGGTTAGTGACCACTGATGTACTATGCCCTAATTTGACCCCACTCTGACTTATCACAATGACTTTAAGCCATAAAGTTCTTATTTTATCAGCTAATGTCAAGTACCAGACAGGGCAACAACAAGTACCATTTTGTAACGTCTTATGGTATGACACACCAACCTTCTGGTCACCAGGCAGATGATATATCTGCTTGACCATGCAAAATAATGGTGCTTTGTACTGGGAGACACAGGAAGATATTCAATAGGGTGATCTATATATGAAACCAGTATCTTAACTTAGGGTTAGTGAGTGCCGTAGGGTTTAAGCCAATGACAACAGAATTTCAGTTATATCACAATAGCCAGTATCTGTTGTTTGAGGTCATCAAGACATATGGGGAAACATGATGATGAACACCAAAGATCATAATCAGGGCAATGCTAGGATTCAAACCTATGATCAGCAGATCCTGGAAGGGCCTTACTCCACTGGACCATCTAGGATTGTGTTCTGGAAAGTCTTTTACAAAGGATTCTTTGTCACTAGATGGCTGCAGTATTTCCAAGTATTAGCCATTGTCTTTACCTGTTACTGACACCTGATGCATGCTTCCAGCCAGATGTTTGTTTAACTATTCTTTGATGATGTTTTCCAGCTCTGAGTCGCCTCAAGTCCCGGAAGCGGATGTGGTGCGCCCTGGAAGAGAGCAAATGTCAGTTGTTGTACTACAAGTCTGAGGAAGATGCTCGGTCCAAACCTCCTGCTGGCGAGGTCAATTTGAAGGGTGCCGCCATTACCCTTGACCTAGACAACCAGAACCAGTTTATTATCATGTAAGTATTCTGTACAACCAGAACCAGTTTAGTATCATGTAAGTATTCTGTACAACCAGAACCAGTTTAGTATCATGTAAGTATTCTGTACAACCAGAACCAGTTTAGTATCATGTAAGTATTCTGTAAGTATTCTGTACAACCAGAACCAGTTTATTATCATGTAAGTATTCTGTACAACCAGAACCAGTTTATTATCATGTAAGTATTCTGTACAACCAGAACCTTGTTATACTAAGTGTCTACACTCTCAGCCATTTCTTGGGACAGATATTTACCTTGTTGTGTTGTGTCATCAAGTATTTGGACCAGGGGAGATATCTGACAGTTATATATTGATGAAAGGGTGAATCAAAATCTTATTGTGGATATAGACACACACACACCCCTTCACCCTTCCCCACCCCTCAACCCCCCACACACCCCTCATAGTTCTTCCTAAATGATGCAAAACTATAAAATGAAATTCAGTCTTCTGTTACTTTTACATTATTTACTTTCAACTCAGTTAGTTATAATCTTCATTTCAATGTCCCTTTTGAGAGTAAGTAGAGAAAGTATACCTAATTTGATGATAATCAGGAAATCAGAAATCAATGGTAGTCAAATACTAAGTATTTTCTGATGAAAAACATCTATTTATTAACACTGATCATTTTTTGCAAAGCCAAGATACCCAGCATAGTGTTAAAATGGAATGGTTGGAGGACAAATACCTAAAATATGTCTGTCAAATACAGTCTTAATCTAATCAGAGATCATAAAAGAGATAATGGTCTTATTATGTGGTCTCTGATCTAATCTACATGCGTTGCATGGGAACAGCTGACTACAAATGTTTAAAATTATTCGAAAGTTTTCCGATCAGTTCCTATGAAATATGTGACCCTGTGTCCTCAGTATGACCTCGAGGTCGATATAGAGATAACACCATGTATAGTCATCACTGGAACTATCAGGAACTATCTGCCATGTCTTCAATGCCTGCTGATACACGAAGTTCTGGAGATTTAATCAGGAGTCCATGCTATATTTGGGCTGTAGAAATTGAAACTTGAGATCATGTACAGGTAAGGCATTCTTTGACTTATCACTGTGAGACAACCTTTTAATGTATTTCATGGAAAGTTGGAAGTTCTGTTAGTGAGTATTGAGTAAAAGCCAAGGCCCATGTGCACAAATTGATCTTAGCACTATGACTATCACAGCACTAAAATTACTTTGTGTACATGAGCCCTGATCAGAAGGATCAGTTGTTGTACAGCAATAGTCAAGGACTCAAGAATATTTGAGAAAAAGAATAGCAAGATTTTATCAAATGTTCTGAGATCATATAAAGATAACAGATTTCGAGGTTGATTTGCATCTACACAAGGGTAACCAGCCAAGCATGTTTCATCACAGACCTTACCATATTTTCTCTAATAGTTAGAGAGTAAGTTTACTTTTATGCCGCACTCAGCAATATTTCAGATGTATGGTGACGGTCTGTAAATAATCGTGTCTGGACTACACAATCCAGTGATCAACAGCATGAGCATCGATCTGCGCAACTGGGATATGATAACATGTATCAACCAAGTCAGCAAGCCTGACCACCCGATCCAGTATTCGCCTCTTACGACAAACATGGGTTACTGAAGATCAATTCTAAACCGGATCTTCACGGGTCTTTCTCTAACAGATGTCGCTACTGTGTTATGAGTGACATTAGAGACACTGGGTCCCACAAGGCATTCGTAGCGTTACGACCTATCGTAACTCTAGACTTAATCATAGACTTACGAATGGCGTAGCACTACAAACGCCATGTGGATATGGTCCCTATCCTCCAGTTCTTCTCAGACCCTCAATCCGATCTAACCCCTGTCAGTTCTTTAAATTGATTTTCACCTGGCATATAGTAGTTATCCGTTTTCCCAATTATTTTTTTAACCCAGCATGTTTTAAACGCCCAACATCAATGGAAGGCTGTGTTAAAGGAAGACGGTAACGCCCTTACTCTGACAATGACTAAGATCGTAACTCCCATACATAGACTTAACACACTTGTATCCCTGAGACCTCTTCAGGCAATAGGGTCCTGTCCATTATTTGTGGGCATATTACAAACTTTAGAAATGACCCAATGTGGTGTGCGTCATTACACACGTCAGACCTGCTGATATACATATGTATTATGTAATTATATCTGTTCTGCATGATTCTACTCAAACTGTTTACAAGAAGATCTTCAGTGCGAGATATGTATTCCTCCATGACAGAGACAGGTATGTCAGTATACATGTAGGATGACGTAGAGTCTTATCCAGGCAGCTGTCATCACGCCTACACCCTTCTCTCTGTCACCATATACATTACCTGTCACAATCTTGATGACCTGTCAATCACAGTCGAAATGGGATATTCATTTTGATTATGAAACTAACAAATGCATTTTATGGAGTATTTTAAGTGGATATAAAAAGTGAAATCATGCATTATATTTGTACAGCTCATAGAAAATCACACCTATTTCATATCACTATATTTAATCAGTCATGGCCTCAAAAAAAGTTTGGTAACATCAAACTCTTATATTATAAAGAGTTACATGTGAGACATGCCATGATTGATAAACTATAGTGATTGATTAACTATAGAGATTAATAAACTATAGTGATTGATTAACTATAGAGATTGATAAACTATAGTGATTGATAAACTATAGAGATTGATTAACTATAGTGATTGATTAACTATAGAGATTGATAAACTATAGAGATTGATAAACTATAGTGATTGATAAAATATAGTGATTGATTAACTATAGAGATTGATAAACTATAGTGATTGATAAACTATAGAGATTGATTAACTATAGTGATTGATAAACCATAGTGATTAGTGATTGATTAACTATATTGATTGATAAACCATAGTGATTGGTGATTGATAAACTATAGTGATTGATAAACTATAGTGATTGGTAAACTATAGTGATTGATAAACTATAGTAATTGATAAACTATAGTGATTGATAAACTATAGTGATTGATAAACTATAGTGATTGGTAGACTATAGTGATTGATAAACTATAATGATTGATAAACTATAGTGATTGATAAACTAAAGTGATTGATTAACTATAGGAATAGATAAACTATAATGATTGATAAACTATAGTGATTGATAAACTAAAGAGATTGATAAACTATAATGATTGATAAACTATAGTGATTGATAAACTATAGTGATTGATTAACTATAGAGATTGATAAACTATAATGATTGATAAACTATAGTGATATGAAAGAATCGGGTGTTCTTTAACTTGTTTTGAGCGGTATATAATCAAACAGATTTGTTTTGTAACCAATTAACGTAATGATTATAATTATCTCTACAAGACATGTTTGTATGGATTATGAAATGTGCGGTTTTATGAATTTGAGTTCCACATTGCATACAAGATTATTGCAGTTGTGTAAGGACATGTACACTTGTATTTGATCATTTGTCTGTACTACTGTAAACTAGTGCCAGTGTGACATGAATACCACACTCAGACATAGTATCCTGACTATCCAACCAATCCTTGTTTTATCCCCTTGTCCTGCACAAGGCAAGTAATGAGTTTTGGTATGACGTGATCTGCAGTTATAACCTTGACCTTCTGCTCTCCTACACACGTTCATGTATATGTTTGTACATATTTGTGAGCAAGGTTGATTAAAATAAGGATTGGATGGTCACTATGGCTTCTGATTTTATCCTTATCTTCCATGTTCTGTAGGGTAGTGGGGTAGTCCAGTGGTCAAAGCGTCCGCTTGTCATGCCGAAGACATGGGTTTGATTCCCCACATGGGTATAATGTGTGAAGCCCATTTCTGGTGTACCAAATCATGATATTGTTGGAATATTGCTAAAAGCGGCAAACGCACTCACTCACTCACTGAGAGCTGAGTAAAATTAAACTCACTCACTAACACCATGTACTGTAACATATGTCTTGAGAAAGGTCCTATTCTTCCCACACATTCTGTTTAGTCAGCTGTTTCTTTATACATGGTTTCAAAGATAGAGCTGGACCCTAGCAACCGTTGCTGGTTTTATTATGCTACAATGGATCACGTGGTCCGAGTACATGACTAAGTTGATTATATGTTTGCTAAACTTTTAACCACCTATCCCTGTTTTAATGATTTTATAGTATCTCTTCGTAATCTCCTGTATAGAGGTATTATGACTCAAGAGTATTTACTGATCTTGAGAGGCAGTAATACCACCAATCAATGGTGTTGAGTAGTCCGTACTGTCCAGTAGGTGTTGGGAGGTTATCAACCTGGTGGCTATGAGTGTGTAGTACGAGATGCTATCACACCCGGGTGACGTCCCACTAGGGATGTAATGTCCACAGTGCAGGACAGGCTGCAGTAATGAGGTCTTGGACTATGTCAATATGGGCTTATTGCCCCGGTAATAACACCCATGCCGTATCTCCAGGAACGTGTGGTATACATGTCTAGGACTAATAGGGTGATTACCAGGTGCTGACCCTCACGATAATGATTACCTGAAGAAAACAATAAGTCCCTTTGCTATATTAAATGTGAATTTGAGTTATTTGATTCGGGCAAAAATATTATGTTTTACTTATGTTAAAATATATACTTTCCTTAATGAGTTTAATCTGAAAATTAAGCCAGCATATTTCAGTGTAATTACTTTAATTACTAATAGTTAAAAATAGTAATATCCTCTAAATATGACTGTCACAATATAGCTTACAGTAGCAGGAAAAAACATCTAAAAAGATGAGCTGCCACAGAGGTTATTCAGTGCAGTGTCATTGAGGAAAACAAGAAATATGTTTCATTCTGAAAAGATACAAAATATTATTTTAAAACAACCAAAAAGGAAAAGATGTATAATTTTTTCCTTAATTATGTAATAATTACCACAAATCTAGATTAAGCTAAGGAAGTTATAAAATTCCTACCGCTAAAGACTGTAAGGAAATTAGTAAAGACTTAACAAGGATAAGGAAAGCCATCCCACAAGGATTATGGGGTGATTAGAGAGGATTAGACAGGCTGTATTTTGTTTATTGCAATGACTTTTTTGTACAGTTCCCAGAATGCACCTTGTAGTGACTTCCTGTAGGGAGGGATGATGAAGTGGCTGCACATAATTGCAATATTATATGTTCTTATTTCTGCATTGCAAGTTTTTTGTGTGCTTACACCATAAAATTGTCCTTTTGTGATAAGCATTGGTACATTTGATCTTCGATATTATCAGTAACCATTCCCTGTTGAGATTCCAGTAAAGGAATGGTCAAGTAAGGTATGCTGGTTGTAAGAGGTGACTTAATTGATCACATAAAGGTGTGGATTGTGGCTCACAGTATTGATCACTGGATTGTCTGATTCAGAAGCAAAGTTGCAGAAGCTGCTGTTATGAAGCTGGATAATTGCCGAGAGTGCATTCAAACTAACAAACAAACTTAGAGACTGGCTTCTGAAAGCACCTTATGCTTGTCTTAAGAGGATATAATAGCTGTAGTATGAATGAGCTGGACTTAACTGCATCTTCTGACAATATTTAATTCATGTCACACTTTTTCAGATTAATTTTGAAAGAAGGACAAAATATATTTATACTGGCGTTCTATTCTGCAGGGCCCCGTTTCACAAAGCGATCGTAGCGCTAAGATGATTGTAACTCCCATACTTTAACATTGACTTACGACAGGTGTAGCGCTACGATCGCTTTGTGAAACGGGGCCCTGGTAAACCCCAAAGTTCAAAGACAGATGTTGATGTGAGATCACTATCAGTTTCCAGATCCTAAAGACAATTATTTTTAATCCCAAACTGGCTTCCATGTGAGATGTGAAACAGTATCATGACAAGAAAAGATGATATCTAAATTGAAAGTAGATGGTATGACATGTAGTCGGAAAATTAAAATCATGATGGTTGTATACATTCATGGCATCTGCAGTCGGGATCCATAGTAGTATAGCTTTGAGAATTATAGGTGTTAGTATATGACTTGCTCAGTTAAAGCGCCTAGTTTCAATTATAAATAGATGGACTGATTTTAAGATATGTGATTGAATTTGTGGGTCCATGGAAGACGTTCCGTATAAGATTGTTTCTAATGAAAAGCCATTGGTATAATAAAATGTATTTACTCTTACAGCATCAAATCTGGGACATACAAAGAAATAATGATGTGTGCATCTTCAGTAGGGTGGGGGGCGGTGGGGTAGCCTAGTGGTTAAAGTGTTGGCTCGTCACGCCGAAGACCCGGGTTCGATTCCCCACATGGGCACAATGTGTTAAGCCCATTTCTGGTGTCCCCTGCCGTGATATTGCTGGAATATTGCTAAAAGCGGCGTAAAACTAAACTCAGTCAGTCAGTCAGTAGGGTGGCCACACAAACAATCTGCTCTCTCATATATCCTAACCTTAAGCGACAGTGGAGGATTTGACAAACTCTTGAACTTATATTGTATCCATGTGGGGAATGGAACCCAGGTCTTTGGTGTGAGGGGTGAACACTTTAACCACTAGGCTACACACACACACACCCATTATCTTATAGTTCTATCTTGGCAATGGAACTGAATCACAGTGCTTAGATGACCACTGGGATGTCACCGTTTGCATCATAAAACTGCATATTCTGTTGCACTGATGTTTCGTATTCCAGATGCTGTTTGAGTGTAAGGTTTACGTATGTTGTTCTATTTGTTGCAGCACGGAGGGGAAGGAATTTGTACTGACGGCAGAAAATCATGAGTCCATGATGATTTGGCTGATGGCATTACAGGTGAGGCATAGCAACATCGTCACAGCAATGGCAAAATTGAATTTAATCCAGGGCCCCATTCCTCAAAGAGATCATAGCATTACGACAGTCGTAAGGCTATGTTGAAGTATGGGAGTTACAATCATCTTAGCGCTACGATCACTTTGAGAAATGGGAGCCAGGTCTTCTGCAGCTGAAAAGAAAAGCTAAAACTATGTTTTTCAATTCTTTTGAATGCAAACATACATCTTCACAACAAGAAAACATTACTAAGATATGTTAAACAGATCAATGAGAGTGTCTTAATAGATACTGCATTCATAACAACATATTCAGATAATGTTTAGATTACACGAGATGGTATAGTAAACTGTTTTCTCTGTGATAAATGGGTATTTATAGCACCTGTCTATCACTGGTCAGCCATTAAGGTGATGTTGTCGAGTAATGTACAAAGTATAGCTGACATTTTGTTTATTCAGTTTCTCAATAACTTCAATGTCAGTGTAATGTCAGACGTTTTAATCACATTGCAAAAGAAAATCTGTTTATAGGGGGTTTGAACATATTACACCTAGCCATGTCAATATACAAATCTTGCACAAATAATGTCGTCAGTGGAGATTAATGTTACGTGGAAAATAAATAATATTTTTTAGTCTGTAGACATATTAAGATATTTAACTTTCCTCATTCACAAGATGGACTCAACATCCTCAGTGTTTTCTATGCTGGTCCCAGATATTGTATAAGAACAATATCAGAGCTGAAATACCTTGTACCTTGATGTTGTAGTTACACAAGCAATGTACTCAAGATGAAGCCGTACAAGAAAATCCTTTCAAGTCTTTAGTGAACCAGCCTATTGATTTACCAACATGGCTGACATGTTTTTTAGTATATACTAAATATACCTGAAGTATTTGAACAACATGTAATGAACAAACAAACTCTGAAGTCAGTATTGACTACATTTCTATAGTACAAGTATAAACGCTGCTCAATGTACGGTGACCTCGAAGGTCTGTGTTTGATCTCCAAGTATTTATAGATCCCTTTCTTACCGTGGCGTGTATAAGGTCAATAGGGTTCGTGCAAAACGTGCATGCATTCATAGTCAAGTTTATGTTTACCTTCAATATTCCATAATTATTTATTAAAAAAATGTATTTTGAGAGTCTGGGAACGACAGTCAACGTTGCACACAAATCTCACATAATGGCGTGAATCTTGGTGGAGATCTCTATTTGTAACATATGTATGGAGATAAGATATTATGCATTCACTGGGAAACCTTTCATGACACACCCTCCTTTTAAGAAAGTGGTTATTACGAAGATGAATTAATATAAATTTAGGTCAGTTCTTTGTGGTACTCCTAGCGTGTAATAGTTGCATGGCTGCTAGTACTTCCCAGCATTGACACAATGTTCAGGCAATTTGTGTCAGGGGCTTCTTTCTCATGGCTTGTTGATAAAATTGCTTCTGTCCTTAGTGTTAATTGAAATTTATTAATTGATAATAAAATTATTTCAACATTTTTCACAATGTTGTTTGAACACGGTATGAAATGATTCTGACATTCATTATATATTTCACCGCCATATAGCAAGACACTTTCAGTATTTGTCCTCTAATGCTGGTCAATGGAGTGGACACTGAAACCTGTTTAAAACTCGGACTCCATTTACAGTGTGAACTGATAAGGGCAATGGCCAACATGAATATTTGTCACATAATAATTAAATATCACTTGCAAATACATTTTCCCGTAGACTGCCTGATTTCTTGTTTATGTGTCACAAAAGTTGGAGTCTTACATTAGTCTCGGCTAAGATGGATATTGGACACACCTAGCAGTATAATACACCACCTTTTGTTGTGATCATCTATGTGTTCATCAATCCGTGGCAAACATGTCGTGTTAAATGGCTGAACATCGTGACGAAAGTTTCTTAAACATTTGGCTACAAATAACCATGTTTTTGATACGTCATGGATGACTTGTTTCCTTGACTAAAGATTCTGTATGTCATCTCTGTCTACCTTGATATTGAGGCTGGGTCGTTGTCTGGAGCGTTATGATAGACTTACAATAAGCTCCTTTTAAATAATCGGTGCTATGACCATTATGAGACTACGTTAAATAGCAGGAAATATAATCATCTTAGTGCTAAGATTAAATTGTGGATAAGGGTGCCATTGTAAAAGGGAATCTTAGCATTAAGGTGATCGTAATGCCCATAATTTAACATAGACATTCGACAATCCCAGCGCTAAGATTGCTTTGAACATTGGCACCTGGATCCACTTGCACAAAGTGATCTTAGCGCTACGATCATCGTAAGCCTATGTTACAGTATGGCAGTTACGATCACCTTAGTATTAAGATTGCATTGTGGATCCTTAAGGGATCTTAGGACTATGGCTGTTGTTGGAGACAATCCATAGTTACGATCATCTTAACATTAAGATCCCTTGTTGATCTTAACTCTGCTCTGTATACCGTATATTACCGTAGATAAGCCGAATTTTGAGGACCAAACAAAGCAGTCCGTAGAAGGGGGTCAGCTTATGTATGGGTTACACTTTCTTCAAACTTTTTTCCAGGGGGTAAGAAAATGACATCGTATCACTTCGGGTGAACAAACAAGAGAAGAGCGACTTTGTCAGTAAAAACGTCAAATTTGCAATTAAACATCACTAGACAAGATAATTTACCTATTTTACCTATTCAGTGCTAATTTGTTTTTGCCTGGCATCTATGGTAATATAAATGTTGTGCATGTCCTGACTCTCTCGCACATGCTGTCCAGGCCAAGAGGGACCTCCACTCCCGGGCAAATGCTGACAAGAAGAAGACCCCCAAGGAGGAGCTGGACAGGAGAGAACGAGTAAGACAACCACTCCTCTCTATAACACATCCTGAAAGGCCTGCGTGTCTGATTGATGAATAGACAGTGAGAAGAGGGGGGACGATAGATCAGAGGATATATGTGGAGGAATCAAAGGACAAGTCACAAAGAAATTAATGTATTGGTGGAGAGATGGTTTGACAGGATGGAGTGATGGATGGATGGAGTGATGGATGGATGGATGGATGGATGGATGATGGATGAGGGAAGTGAAGAACAAGTCACAAATAAATTAATGTTTTGGTGGAGAAATGGTTTGACAGGATGGATGATGGATGGAGAAATGGTTTGATAGGATGGATGGATGGATGGATGATAGATAGGATGAGTGAAGGATAGATTAGAGAAGTGATGGCTGGCTGGATTAGAATAGCGTGGGAAGAGTAGAAAAGTGATAGTTGGATGCATTAGAGAGATGGATGGATAGATGGATGGATGAGGGAAGTGAAGAACAAGTCACATAGAAATTAATGTTTTGGTGGAGAATGGTTCAACAGGATGGAGGGATGGATGGATGAGAGAAGTGATGGATGGATGGATGGATTAGAGTAGTATAGTATGGATTAAAGAAGTGGTGGATGGATGCATTACAGAAGTGATGGATGATGGACAGATATATGGATGATGAAAGAAGTGATGGATGAATCAAGGGAGGGAGGGAAGGATGCAGATGAGAAGGATTAGATGGTTTAGAAATGGATGTTTTTTATGGATTAATAGGTTAAATAATTGTTGGATAATGTCTGCTGGAGAGAAGACAACCATGATGTCTTTATGATGATTGCAAGTTGTGGCAGACATTGAACTGAGTGAAGGGTTACCAGTGTCATGACAGCACAATTTGTGTTTTTCCTAGAGAAACCAGACAGCATTTATAAGGGAACATATTTGGTACCATGTGAGTATGAAGCGACCTGGTGTGGGATAATGTTCCTCTCTGCATCTCTACAGGAATGTCCCACCAAGCAGCCAACATTTTTTTTCACATGGATAAGATTCATAAAACATTACAGAATATCTCTTTCAAGAACATGTCAAGTCCTGGAACACACCAACTCACGGCAGAGTAAAAGAAATAATTATTGTGTTCGTTCCATGTTTCTGTTGATGTGATTATCAAATTTGGTGACATTCATTAAAAAAAATCTTCCATAACCAACCTTGCTTTCAAAATATATCTCAAGGTTACTCAAATTATTGTTACAGTTCTGATGTTTGATCCAATGTAATTGACTGGTTAGAGTACTGACGTTGTGAGTTGGTTGTGTCCTCCCGGAGGTACCCTTACTAAAACCTTGCCATGTTGCCTTCTCAAGACCAAACCTAGACACTGGTGTGTAGAGCTAACACTTGGATACAGCAGCAGGAGAGTCTCATCATTGGGTTGGGAGGAGTAGTCTATCTCACAGATTCCCCTCCCAGACAACCCTTAATACAATGTTTTAGCCCTAAATGACGAAAGTCTGCACTTTTCCACTGTCTCTTTTCCCTTCCAGCCTCACTTTATGTAATGTTATAGCCCTAAATGAAGCAAGTCTAGATTTTCCGCAGTCTGTCTCATAGTCCCTAAACCACATTATTTTCCCTTCCAACCAGCCCTTACTGTGCTATAGCCCTGGGCTCCTTGTACAAAGCACTAAGGTGACAAAGCACAATGTTAAAAATGGGAGTTAAGGGTGATCAGTAAGTAGGCACTAAGGTAACCTTTGTGCAAATGTTAAAAAATGGGAGTTATTAGGTTAACCTTAAAGCATTTTAGATCGGCCAGCAGAGAATGCCTCACAGTCTAATAATAAGTGACGTTCAGTCTTCAGTTTTACCAGAAGAACAATGAGAACATGATAAATCTTCCAATGTATTTTTATATCTTTTCTATAAGCTGTATTTTTTAAGGCATGTAGAGATTCTAAATTTACAAAAAATTCTTAAAAGGGACTTATCATTAAGGACCCTAATATATTTTTCAGGTCCGAACATGATTTACATTGTGAATAATGACTTAGAAACTTCGATGAATTTACTGATGCGTGCCAATTCTGAATATATATATCTTTTATTCGTTTGCTTAGTAAAGGTTGCTTCGTGAAAGGAGCCCCAGCAGACTAAGTTAGTCAACTTTTAAACTTTCAGTCCAGTCCCTGTACTATAAATTTATTTTGTTATTAATAAATTCTCGTAATGTAATGTTATGGCCCTAAATGAAGCAAGTCTACTTTTCCCACATCTGTTTCACAGTCCCTAAACTGTCATGTTACCTTCTCTATCCCTTCTGTGATTCTACAGTCCAAAAAGAAGCAAGTCTAGACTTTCCTTAGTTTTGGGTCTAAATCAACCATCTCAATGGGGCTCCTTTTCAATAAAAATGTAATGACTATTTTTTTTCATAAAAGTTTCATATTTTCAATGATTAAATCTAGTGAGAAGGTGTACTAACACGTAAACTGAAAGTCTCATTCATATGTAGATAAAATGTGGGACTTATTTACAATTCAAATAATATGTTCACCTGCAGTAGTACCCATTGAGTTGATGCCATCTCATTCAGAGGATTAGGGTCATCTTAACACAGACATCTTTTTGTGGATAGGTTCTTACCCTGACAATAACACGATTGTGGAGATATGTGTCGTGGTGATTTTATTACATGTCTGCAAATGGTGCTTTGTTTCACGATGTATGATTTTGCATGATCAGGATTTATTTTTAGTTTCGTTTAGTTGTTTAGATCATTCAGAATGTCTCTCGGTGACCTTCACATCTCTGTGGCTTGACAATGGTCAGCCATGTTATTTCTTTACACATCCTGGGCTGTTATCAACCTGTCTTTGAGAGGAAAATTTGTTTTTAAGTTTTTAAGTGCATGCATGAATTTTATTGTAGACTGGAATATTATTTTCATATTATCTCATGCCTGAAAATATCATTGAACCGTTTCAAAGTACATAACATATGTTATTGTGAAAATAGCAACTGCTGAGCAAACAGACGGCATTTGTGCTGATGATTCGGTGGAACTGAAAACAAATTCTAGTGAAATTTGGGTCATCGAGTAAAAAATAGTATCTCTTCCATTTATTAAATGTCAGTTATTCAAATTTTCTTCCGAAAGAAACTGTCATGTTGTATAGGATGACGTCAACTACGTTTTTTTGCAATCTTTCTCTACAAATTGAATGGTGTCAAATCAGTGAATGCCTGTAAGGATAACTGTCTACAAAATTATTTACCACCATACTTTCTTCAGACATGCTCTGTTGTCCCTGGAACGATTTGTGGAGGACAGAAAACATTTCTTAATGTTTCACAAGTACAGAAATTGTCAGAAGTTTGTTTGCATTAAAGCAAAACGATTTGTTTTTGTTGTACCGATGATTAAGTACCATACTTAGCATCATCTATCCATTTGTGGTTTTACTCCAGACTCGATTTGTTTACAAACAACATCATACAGCTGGAATACTGCTGAAACAAATATATGCTCATGATAAAGACGGGCGGTGGGGTAGCCTAGTGGTTAAAGCGTTGGCTCGTCACGCCGAAGACCCGGGTTCGATTCCCCACATGGGCACAATGTGTTAAGCCCATTTCTGGTGTCCCCCGCCGTGATATTGCTGGAATATTGCTAAAAGCGGCGTAAAACTAAACTCAGTCAGTCAGTCAGTCATGATAAAGACACAATTGTACAATCGACTCTGCTTTTGGCACAGATTTCTTATGAATGTGGAAAGGGTTCTGTCACTTCTATTCATATGTCCCATTGCTTGCATTACCCAGAGTTCCTCTGACATCACAGCCATGAACCCCGAGGGCAGCCGCCATAAAGCCCTTGGTTACTCTCAGTCTCTTCACATGAACAACACCCCAACGTCAGCGTTGAACTCCAAATTCCGACACTATCAGCTCCAGAAGATCGGAGAGTCATTCGACGTGAACAACATGCCATCTCGCAAAGGTACACCAGTCTCTTATGCTTACCAGTAGCCTAGTGGTTAAACTGTTCACTCATTTTGCTGACAAATGAGGTTTAATTCCCACAATGGGTGCAATTTGTGGCCAATTCCTGGTGTCCCCAGCTGGGGTATTGCAGGGGTCATTAAGCCTTTCTCACTCACATATTTGAGTTAAGCATGCAGTCTGGCTGATGTGATTCTTTGCAGAGTTTCCTTGACCTTCAAGCACATGCTAGCAGCTTTTTTTGGGTGTGGATGTGTCAGATTCAAACTAGAATCTCTCATACTAGTTTCAATCAACAATTCAGTTTCAGTTCCTTGTTGCCTTATTAGAGATTCGGTGTCATGTAAGTAATTCTGAAAGATTTCTTGTGGGAAGTGTGGTTCTTTGCAGTATGTTTCTCGACATTGCAAACCTAATACTGACAGTAGTACCAGGATCTGAGTCAAACAGGTAAAGGAGCTGTTATTTTATAATGTTGCCAAGTAATGGACAGTAAATGATTCGGTACTCCCAGAAACAAGTGGTCCAGTACTCTCAGAAACAAACAGTTCAGAACTCCAAGAAATAAGTAGTTCAGTACTCTCAGAAACAAACAGTCCAGTAATCCCAGAAACAAACAGTTCAGTGCTTCCAGAAACAAGTGGTTCAGTACTTTTAGAAACAAACATTTCAGTACTCTCAGAAACAAACAGTTCAGTACTTCCAGAAACAAGTGGTTCAGTACTTTTAGAAACAAACATTTTAGTACTCTCGGAAACAAGTAGTTCAGTACTCCCATAAACCGACAGTTCAGTACTCTCTGAAACAAACCTGTTTAGAAAACTACATCATGTTGAGACCTTGTTTTGAAGACAACACAGACACTTTTGTACTGATTCATTATTTCGGAAAGTATTGATTCTTCTTACAATTATTTTAATGCTATCAATGCAGTTGTTTCTAAGAAAAATGTCATGTCTTGTTCAGTGTAACTTAACAAATGATATAAAACTTTGTTTATTTTTCATAATCTTATACACTCATATATAACTCCTGGCAAATATACAAACGAAAAGTCAAGTTATATACAGTTTTTTAGGGAAACAGTCTCATTGTTTGTTGGTACCAAGCACCTTGCTATACAATTATACAGCCCCGAAGTTGGTTAACTGCCATGGGAGTGAGTCGTAATGTGTTGACAGTATTTTGGAAATATGTCAGGTTTGTTGCAATCAAGTCTGGCTCATGACCTAAGAGTCATCATGTGGGGCTGTGAGGTAGCCTAGTGGTTAAAGCATTCACTCGTCACTCTGAAGACCCGGGTTTGATTCCCCATATGGGCACATTGTGTGAAGCCCATTTCTGGTGTCCCCAGTCGTGATATTGCTGGAATATTGCTAAAAGCGGCGTAAAACCCAACTGACTCACTAGTAGCTCAGTACATGACATCTCTAAATTGTGAACACCAATGGCTGCACCTCCTGTTAACAAAAGGATCTATCCAAATAAAGGCTTAAGTTTGCTCATTAAAATACAACGAAAGGGTGAACATATTATGCAAAGCAACATCTTGAGAGGGAGTTCAGTGTCTGTCCTTCCTTCATGGGAAGAAGTGACATTAAAGGTTGTGTCCACACAGTCTGGGATTTGCATATGCTCTTAGTGGAGATTCTCCTCAAGGAGTTGAGAGTGTAACATGTTGCCTGTTTTCTCCTCTACAAGCCACTCATGAGAAGGTGGACCGATCGCGCTCCTTGCCGCCAGTGTTTGAAGGTAACCAGTGCTGCGATAACATTAATGTTGTCCTTTACGTTACTGGGAGACTTGTTGTTATAGTTATGGGACACAATCGACAATGGTGGAGGTGCATTTCCCCATACATTTTGTCACGGTTGCATGAAAGATATGAGAATGAAAAAGAATACTTTGATGAATTTAGATGTCTTTTTTTTCCAGATTTTTCGAAAGTAGGTTTTGGTAGAGATAGAGGAACTGATTAAAATTTGATTATTAGTTTGTCAACAGGACTTAAAATTATATTGACTCTTAGTCAATCAATTGAAAGATGATAACTGATCTTAATGACCTCTGTAAGTCTGTGTACAGGTGATAATGGGTTTTGATGACCTCATTCAAAACCATTTAAGGGGGATAACTGATCACGATTACCTTTGTCAGTTACTTCAAGGGGGGATAACTGATCACAATAACCTTTGTCAGTTACCTCGAGGGGGATTACTATTCATGATTACCTTTGTCAGTTACTTAAAGTGGGATAAACGATCAAAATATTAATGACCTCATTCAGATTGTTCAAGGGGGATAACTGACAGCCATGATCACATTCAGATCATTCAAGGGGGGTAACTGATCACGATGACCATAATCAGTGTCTGGATGTGTGATAACTAACGCAAGGGAGGTCACTCTGTCAGGAAATATGATGACTCCAGTCAGGGTGTAGATTATTCATGATGACTTCAAACTGTCTTACTAAGGGCGATAACACAATGATGCAAGGGCAATAAGACCATCATGTGTCAGTAAATGCAAGGGTGATGAAAGATTCCAATGACCTCAGTCTGTATCTACAGATGTAGAAACTGAATGTAATGGCTTCCTTTAGGTTGCAAGGGTGATACTAAAAGCAGCAATCACCCTTTTTTGTTCTCTCAAACGATGATTACACTGAACCAGTCTGGAGTAACGTGAAGGCAGCACAAGCTTCAGTGTATAGAATTAGTCGTCTCATATTAACTTCGTTAGGTGATGCCGTCTGAATATAACGCTCCTTCTGTCTCACGGACACCCTATGACCTCTGCTTGTACTACTGGACATAGTTCACATCTCATATTGAACTTGGAGTATTTCCAAATAGTTTACGTGTTAATGAACAATTAAGTTAAAGTGAGACCGTTGTTTTTTTAATAATTTTTAATATGTTCCAACCTTCTGTGTACATATTGAATAATCTCATATTCTAATCACTAAATTTACAGATGCCCCTTCACTTCAATTTTTGTTCTTGATTTGATCAGTATGAATTTATTTTTAAATTAAGTTTTCAATTTTTATTTTTTAAACTTTGTAAGTGAAAAGAATGATTTGGTAAAGAAGCTCTACGGCTGTGGATGGTATATCTGGCACCATCAGCATCAACAGCAGCAGCAGCTGCAACAACAGCAGGAGTGTAGTATCGTGTGGCACTGTTGGCAGAATATAGCTTCATGTGATATCACCTCGTCTTGCATCACAGCTTCAAGCAGTTACAAGAACACTCTCGTATATCCCCCAACTTATACCATACTTGCTGAATATTGTTAACAGAAGCACCGGCACCGTGAAATGGGCATCCTTGTACATTGTGGTACAGAGAGACCCACTTTGTGAATTAACACGTAGTTGTATAATTAACATAACATCAATGTGTGCTGTAGTTTCCAATTCTTCAAAGGTGTTTTTTCTAGATGTGAAAGCTTCTTTGTATTTGGTGGCTAATTATATCAAATTGAAATAACACTTAACCCTTAACTCACATTAATAAAATAAAACTTGATAAAATTGGAATATTTCAATAATTATCAAACATGAAGTACCAGATAGATAGTGATACAGTGCCAAGGATATACACAATAATGATCAATTCTGTGAAAGTAATTAAGACTCTACTGCCAGTAATCTGTTATTTTCATCAATCTTCCATGCTTTGGACAAAGAAAAGGCTTAAGCAGTCTGCTTTGCATTTTGCGAGCTTAACACGATTTTGTTTTCAGGTGATATGTGATTTTTATTTTGATGTCTATACATGCTTATCTCCTTCTCCCAGAGATGCCTCCCTTCAAAAAGAGGTTCAGCATATCCAATCCTCTAGGTAAACCAAATGTCGTAGTGTCGTCATTTCCTGTACGTACAGCACCACCACACATGCTTCCTGTAGCCCAGACCTCACAGAACCTGCAGCCCGTGCTTGAACACACACACTTCTCAAACACTCCATTTCATATAGCTAGTACCCCTCTATTGTGATCTGGGCCCCATTTCACAAGGTGATCGTAACACTAAGGTGATCGTAACTCCCATACTTTAACATAGACTTACGACAGTCATAGCACTATGATTGCTTTGTAAAATGGGCCCCTGGATTTTCTAAATATGCAAGAGGGAAAATTTATTTCCGATAGATATGTTTCTTTAAATATTTCATGTTTAATGTTTTTTAAATAATTTGTAATAATATTTCATATCTAATGGTTCTCAATAATTTGTGAAAATATTTGGATATGAAGACAAAAATGCCTTTATGAACTGGCATTTTTTCTGTTTTGAGAAGAGTGTGTTTTCAAATACCTAGTTCACCTGAAGCTATACACCATGCAGTAATTCTTAGCTCACCTGAACTCAGTATACAGCGTAGCGATGCATCAAACTATAGAAGCACCTGGCATTCCACTTCAAAGCCAGAATTGCCGAGTCAGCATTAATTCTTCAGACAATATTTATATCAGGTGTATACTCAATGAGTTGCCTATGGATCACGTCAATGTCATTATCTTTAATAAACATTATCTAGCTCCTGTCATGTTTTCACTGTTTGTGTCAAAGATTCCTAGATGTGTGATATATGTTGTTTGTGTTGATGAGATATATGTTGTAAGTTTGTGGTGTTTATAAAACTGATGTTATATGAACTTGATCATTTATCATTAAATGATGCATGTATGCATGGCGGCTCCATTTCCACAATGCATGATCATGCATTGTTGTGAGATGCATATGATTATTTATATAATGCATGTTGATACAATGTTGCGAGATTCCTCTACCATACCTTACCCACGCTTTGCATACTTTTTACAATTTTGCTTGTCACCCTCAATATCAGATTAGTTTTTTTTATTTCTTTGTCTGTTTGAGTAAAGAAATATTGATTGTATGATGTGTGCTTTCATCTTATGTCCATGGACTATACATGCCTACATATTGACACTGAAAATACAGAATTATATGGAAATAACAATTTATTATAATTATGCCATTTCTTGACAAATGCTTTTTGCTTTTCTAATGTCTATGCAACAATGATATTTTAGATAGGTTAGTTTCAACACCTGACAATACCGACATAATATACTACCACACAGAAATAATTGATTGGTTTGTCCAGGGTTTGTTTAGTAAGAAAAATCATTACATCAGCAGTTACCTGCCCTTGTTTTCATAGGTCAAGGCTGCCATCTGTTGAGTATATTGTATATCTTGACTGATATTGATTTTATGTCATGGCCTGATATAAATAACAGTTTACTAAATAATATTACGATAAACCTGGTGTAGTGTGATTATAACCGAATATCAGTCCAAGCAGTAGCCTACAAAGCCAATTACTCATATAGCATTCTAATCAGAGATGCTTTTACTAATTATACATTTTATATATACAGGTATATGTAAGTTTTGCATTAACTGCAAGATCAGCATATTTTGGATCATCATGTTTACAAGAAGGAGGACTTTAAGATGAGATAAGAAATATTTCATAGGAGGGGCTGGGTTTACATGGTCAAAACATAAGAAGAGTTTTGAATTGAAATGTGTAATATTAAAATTTAGTGTTAATATTGGTAATATTGATGAGATTTTTAAAAATCCGTAATGATTTAGTTTAGGTATGGCCATAGATGTGAACAAATATTTGGAGAATAGAAATGATTCTGTTACTGATGACTCAAAATGGCCTCTGATTTGATTACTTTCATCCCAATAGAAAACAGACACAACAAGACACAATAAGCAATCATTATTCAGCCTATGAATACTAATTTTGTATGTTAGAAATATATATTCCTTGTTAGTAATTTATATGTAAGCATATATCATATACAATTCCTAGAGCAACAAAACCTTTCTGAATGCATGTTAGCACAGCACAATATTGTATCACTGCACAACTTAGACCTGCTTTATACTTACCGGTATACATATCACCTGTAGTTTTAGTGTTCGTTAGGACATGAAATATTTGGAGAAATTAATTTTCACTGTCACAACGTTATCAATATTATAAAAAATCTTGACTTGATATTCACGTCAACCAGCCATGTTGATATATTTGTGTTGGGACAAGGTTGGGCAAGGTAGCGACTATATCTCACTTTTCAAACAGGTCTAAATTTGTTTTAGAAAATATGTTTTGGGCATCTATAACTATTAATTACAAAAATTCACAAATATAAATGATTTACTGAAATATTCGAAAGCTTGACAGATTAATGATTAACCTTTATTTCAAAATAACTTTCGAGTGTGTTTTTGTTTATATTTGACATTAGTTTGTTTCTAAATATTTTTTTAGTAGACTAAATGTTTATGAAGATAGAACTGACCGATTGATTTCATGTCCTCATGACTTGAATTCTTTCTCAGTTTAATATGAATATATGATAGAAGCTACATGTTCAATTCCTCGTTTCAGAGATTCCATCGTCCCTATTTACTCCATATGCCCGACAGCTGTCAGTCAGCATGGACTCGTGTGAAACCAAGGCTAATGGCTACCGACGACGCAGCTCCATGTACAATGGAGACTCCAGCAGCGGCAGCACCGCCGACAGTGACGAGTTGTACGGGGAGGAGGGGCATCCCAGGAGGAACAAATCAAAGGCTGATGGGATGAAGAGGAAGATGAGACAGCAGACGTTTGATCAGGACAGTGACTGTGATCAATATCAGAACTTTGATCTGTCCAGGTCAGAGGAGAGGAACCGACATAGGTGTGTACGATGGTAGACAAATTGTGTTATAGTTCTTTGGCTGTTGTGCTTTTTTTAAATTGAGAGCTTATGCTTAGGCTGCTTAAGGCTTTGGTCAAAGAGATGGAATAAATGTCAAAGAGATGGAATAAATGTCAACACGATGGACAACCAATGGACAGAATGGACAAACTAATCAACAAACAGAGGGTCAATATATTCAAACTAATGGACAAACAGATGGACAATATATCAAAACTAATGGACAAACAGATGGACAATATATCAAAACTAATGGCATTTCTGGTGTCCCCCACCGTGATGTTGCTGGAATATTGCTAAAAGTGGCATAAAACCAAACTCAGTCAGTCAGTCAAAACTAATGGACAAACAGATGGACAATATATCAAAACTAATGGATAAACAGATGGACAATATATCAAAACTAATGGACAATATATTCAAACTAAGGGAGAATCAGATGGACAAATATATTTAAACTAATGGACAAACAGATGGACAATATATCAAAACTAATGGACAAACAGATGGACAAAATATTCAAACTAATGGACAAACAGATAGACAATATATTCAAACTAAGGGACAATATATTCAAACTGATGGACAATCAGATGGACAATATATTCAAACTAATGGACAATCAGATAGACAATATATTCAAACTAAGGGACAATATATACAAACTAATGGACAATGTATTCAAACTAATGGACTATCAGATGGACAATATATTCAAACTAATGGGCAATCAGATGGACAATATATCAAAACTAATGGACAATCAGATGCACAATATGTTCAAACTAATGGACAATATATTCAAACTAATGGACAATCAGATGGACAACTAATGGACAATCAGATGGACAATATATCAAAACTAATGGACAATCAGATGGACAATACATTCAAATTAATGGACAATCATATGGACAATATATTCAAACTAATGGGGAACAGATGGACAAAATATTCAGATTAATGGACAGGACAAACAGATGGACAAAATATTCAAACTAATGGACAATCAGATGGACAATATATTCAAACTAATGGACAATATATTCAAACTAAGGGACTATCAGATAGACAATATATTCAAACTAAGGGACTATCAGATAGACAATATATTCAAACTAAGGGACTATCAGATAGACAATATATTCAAACTAATGGACAATCAGATGGACAATATATTCAAATTAAGGGACAAACAGATGGACTAAATATTTCAACTAATGGACAATCAGATGGACAATATATCAAAACTAATGGACTATCAGATGGACAATATTTTCAAACTAATGGACAAACAGATGGACAAAATATTCAAAATATTCACACAAGGCCAAACAGATCAAACTGATTGACAAACTGATGGACAAGATAGTCAAACTGTTCTTCAAACTGACTGACAAAACAGTCAAACAGATTGACAATCTGATAGATTGACTGTTGGACAAATTAGTTAAACTGATGGACAAATGACACATGAAATGATCAGATGGTTTCTTTAAGTTTGTCCTCTTGAACAATTCCTGCTTTTACTCTCTCGTCCTAAATCATGATGACACACAAAGTGTGACATTGATTTAGTTGGTCAGTTATGGCTGCCTTTAAAGCATATATGTTTTGATGTACTCAAAATCCAGTATGAACCAAATTTACAGACTGCTTTTGATATTTGTCAAAGTTATTGCCATTGCACATATTGATATCAAATTTTAATTGAGAGATATGTATGCATCAGTTCACAGTTGCCGTGATGCTTGAAATGCAACATACAATAGCAACAATACTGGCATTGTGTTGGCAAGATCAAATGTTTGATGATCGGCATATGTTCGTTGTATAAATCTCTATTGATTCCACAGAAATTCTGCCCCATATTCCGTGGTACATACATGTAAATGTCCTATGTGTTTAACTCCGAGATGAAGAGGTGGGTGATATTAGTAAGACATGATCTGGTTTATGATAGCTCGATGTCTGCGTCCAGTGATTCCGCCATCGATAAAGGGGAGATGGGGTCTCAAGAGCTGGGCAGAATCTCGGAACTGGAGAAGGAGCTGATGTAAGTATAGCACAGCAGGTGCCCTCATTAATAACTAGATCACACGTGGTGTTTTGTGTGTGACTGGATTCAGAGTGAAAGGTTACTGCTGGTCTCACCGAAGACTTGCTATCTGAAATGTTGTTAAAGTCAAGGAAAATGTTAAATACTGCTTGCTGCACTGTAGACATCAATGTGAGTATAGCACCATCATTGATTTATCCCTAACTAGTTAATATGTTGTTGTGTAGGGTTTAACGCTGAATGTTGTTGTGTAGGGTTTAACACTGAATGTTGTTGTGTAGGGTTAATGCTGAATGTTGTGTAGGGTTTAATGCTGAATGTTGTTGTGGAGGGTTTAACGCTGAATGTTGTTGTGTAGGTTTAACGCTGAATGTTGTTGTGTAGAGTTTAACGCTGAATGTTGTTGTGTAGGGTTAATGCTGAATGTTGTTGTGTAGGGTTAATGCTGAATGTTGTTGTGTAGGGTTTAACACTGAATGTTGTTGTGTAGGGTTTAAGCAGCTGAATGTTGTTGTGTGTTGTGGGGTTTAGCAGCTGAATGTTGTTGTGTGTAGGGTTTAACGCTGAATGTTGTTGTGTAGGGTTTAACAGCTGAATGTTGTTGTGTAGGGTTTAATGCTGAACGCTGAATGTTGTTGTGTAGGGTTAATGCTGAATGTTGTTGTGTAGGGTTTAACACTGAATGTTGTGTAGGGTTTAACACTGAATGTTGTTGTGTAGGGTTTAACGCTGAATGTTGTTGTGTAGGGTTTAACGCTGAATATTGTTGTGTAGGGTTTAACACTGAATGTTGTGTAGGGTTTAACGCTGAATGTTGTTGTGTAATGTTAATGCTGAATGTTGTTGTGTAGGGTTAATGCTGAATGTTGTTGTGTAGGGTTTAATGCTGAATGTTGTTGTGTAGGGTTTAATGCTGAATGTTGTTGTGTAGGGTTTAACGCTGAATGTTGTTGTGTAGAGTTTAACGCTGAATGTTGTTGTGTAGGGTTAATGCTGAATGTTGTTGTGTAGGGTTAATGCTGAATGTTGTTGTGTAGGGTTTAACACTGAATGTTGTTGTGTAGGGTTTAACAGTGAATGTTGTTGTGTAGAGTTTAACGCTGAATGTTGTTGTGTACAGCTGAATGTTGTTGTGTAGGGTTAAGCTGAATGTTGTTGTGTAGGGTTTAATGCTGAATGTTGTTGTGTAGGGGTTAATGCTGAATGTTGTTGTGTAGAATGTTGTTGGTTAATGCTGAATGTTTGCTGAATGTTGTTGTGTAGGGTTTAACGCTGAATGTTGTTGTGTAGGGTTTAACGCTGAATGTTGTTGTGTAGGGTTTAACAGCTGAATGTTGTTGTGTAGGGTTAATGCTGAATGTTGTTTGTTGTGTAGGGTGCTGAATGTTGTTGTGTAGGGTTTAATGCTGAATGTTGTTGTGTAGGGTTTAACGCTGAATGTTGTTGTGTAGGGTTAATGCTGAATGTTGTTGTGTAGGGTTAATGCTGAATGTTGTTGTGAATGTTGTTGTGTAGGGTTTAATGCTGAATGTTGTTGTGTAGGGTTTAACACTGAATGTTGTTGTGTAGGGTTTAAGCTGAATGTTGTTGTGTAGAGTTTAACGCTGGTTGTTGTAGGGTTTGTGCTGAATGTTGTTGGTTTAACACTGAATATTTTGTTGTGTAACGCTGAATGTTGTTGTGTAGGGTTAATGCTGTGAATGTTGTTGTGTAGAGTTTAATGCTGAATGTTGTTGTGTAGGGTTTAATGCTGAATGTTGTTGTGTAGGGTTTAATGCTGAATGTTGTTGTGTAGGGTTTAATGCTGAATGTTGTTTGTGTGTTGTGTAGGGTTTAATGCTGAATGTTGTTGTGTAGGGTTTAACGCTGAATGTTGTTGTGTAGGGTTTAACGCTGAATGTTGTTGTGTAGGGTTTAACGCTGAATGTTGTTGTGTAGGGTTAATGCTGAATGTTGTTGTGTAGGGTTTAATGCTGCTGAATGTTGCTGAATGTGTAGGGTTTAACGCTGAATGTTGTTGTGTAGGAATGTTGTTGTGTAGGTGTTAACGCTGAATGTTGTTGTGTAGGGTTAATGCTGAATGTTGTTGTGTAGGGTTAATGCTGAATGTTGTTGTGTAGGGTTATGCTGAATGTTGTTAATGCTGAATGTGTGTGTAGGGTTAATGCTGAATGTTGTTGTGTAGGGTTTAATGCTGAATGTTGTTGTGTAGGGTTTAATGCTGAATGTTGTTGTGTAGGGTTTAACGCTGAATGCTGAATGTTGTTGTGTAGGGTTTTGAATGTTGTTGTGTAGGGTTTAATGCTGAATGTTGTTGTGTAGGGTTTAACGCTGAATGTTGTTGTGTAGGGTTTAATGCTGAATGTTGTTGTGTAGGGTTAACGCTGAATGTTGTTGTGTAGGGTTAATGCTGAATGTTGTTGTGTAGGGTTTAATGCTGAATGTTGTTGTGTAGGGTTTAACGCTGAATGTTGTTTATGTATTATTATTTCACATATTTCGTATGCATAATTCTGGAGTTTAAGAGTGAGATGTTAGTGACATCTGGGATAAACGTATGCATTGTGCTTTCCCAGTTTTGCCAGCAATACTATTTCTGTCAGCACCACACTCATGATAATCATCACAACGTTGGTAATGGCGATGTTGATGATGATGATGTTGATGATGGTTAATTTTGATAGTGGTGGTGATGATTGTATGCACAATGAGTCATTTGAAGGCAAATGGAAACGCAGGTGACTTTATGTGTTGTCCAAAAGTTATGTCCCCTTTGCCATGCCAGGATCTGCTTGCTTTTTGCTCTTCTCCAATATCAGCACTTTACTCATGGGTTTCATCTAAGTGGTGCTGGTATATGTCTTAAGCCTACCTCATGTAATGATGTCTTCCCATAACAGGCTAAAATTCAGAGAAAAAAAGGAAATATTCTTTAACAAAACATTAAAGTAACTGTCATTTCTTAACTGCAAATAACTTAATGCAATCTGTGCTTGAGAGTATAGGTGTTAAATGAACAGTATATGGATAGATTCATGGAATGGCTCATATATTTTTGAAAAATATTCTCTTTGTTACATCCTACTGCATCCTTATGCTGCAGTTCTTGTTCAGTTCTTGATCTTATGACATAAGATGATGATGATGATGATTATTATTATTATGATGAAAACAGGATATATCTATATACAGGGGTTGTATACACCACATACACTCTGTGAGTGAGTTGAGTTAATGCCAACAGTATTGCAGTTATATCACAGCACATCAGTTTAATGTGGGAAGAAGAAAGTCAGGAGAGATCCAGATCTTTAATGTTAACCCACATACAGAGGTTGTATACAGCATGTATATACCAGTATGAGTCACCAATGATAAATCCATGTCCAGCCTCTCTGCAACAGCTGCAACAAGGAGAAGCTATTGATCCTTTACAGGACAACAATACAAAGAAACTTTTCAGGATAAAACCTTTCTTGTAGCCATGGAGCACATGGTATACTTTGGACCCTTTTGGGACAATCTTGGGACATGTTTGTGTCGATCTTTTGCTGGACGATGTCACTGACTGGAATTCATGTTCTATTCACGACATACCCTGATGGTGTCTTATACATTACCTGTCTGTGGTGTGTGGTACTGAAGCCATGGAGACATTACGGCAGTGGCACAGGTACAGGTGTTGAACCAAGACATCGTAGACAACAGTTATTTCTTTTAATAGCATAGTCAGAGTGATTTCTCGAGGGACAACAAGATCATCTTTGTTTTTTTAACACTGATTCATTTCCTTGAGAGAGCAGCCAGTTTGGGATTAATCATTATAAATTTTCATTACATTTTTCTGTAGTTCATGTGTTTCCGAAAGCTTTTCCATCCATGTAATTTAGACATCTAGTATCCTATTTTTCAGCCACACTTGAAAGATGCTGTTGTTGGATACTACTTTCCCAACTACTAATGATATGACTCTGGTTTATTCACATTGAAAACTTTGTCGGACTTTAATCTATAAACATGACTAAGTAACTAAACGTTCAAAAAGTCTGGTACTTCTAGGAACAAAAGGGTGTTTTGAGAGGTCATAATTTACATATTCAATCTAAGATTGGTTGTTTTCTATCATAACATTTCGATATTTTTGACCATGGAAAGGAAATATGCCTTGCTGATGAGCCACCTTGCACTTTATCAATAGTTTGAATAAGACAGTTAAGATGGTTGAGGAAAGGATATCTGCAATCAAACAAGTTTTTTTCTGTTATTTTCGAAACTGAAAGTAAACTGTAAAGTTGCAGGGAGGTGGCTAGGTTCTGACTTGGATCATTGGTGTTACCACGACCCAGTGGCCTGGATGGTGTTACATGGATGTTACCAGGATGAGTGGCATGGTGTTACCAGGACCCAGTGGCCTGGATGATTGGTGTTACCAGGACCCAGTGGCCTGGATGATTGGTGTTACCAGGACCCAGTGGCCTGGATGATTGGTGTTACCATGACCCAGTGGCCTGGATGATTGGTGTTACCAGGACCCAGTGGCCTGGATGATTGGTGTTACCACGACCCAGTGGCCTGGATGATTGGTGTTACCATGACCCAGTGGCCTGGATATCCAGATTGGTGTTACCATGACCCAGTGGCCTGGATGATTGGTGTTACCACGACCCAGTGGCCTGGATGATTGGTGTTACCACAACCCAGTGGCCTGGATGATTGGTGTTACCATGGCCCAGTGGCCTGGATGGTTGTTCAAGCCTGAAGCCACTGGTTGTCTGGTCACTGCAGGATTGTCTACTGGCATCGGACATTGGAGGCACTGTGGCCATGTCACAAAACAACACTCACTGAAACATAGGTTGGATTGTGAGAAGTATTGATGGATTGATACAATCATAGATGGATTGTGAGAAATATAGATAGATTGATACAATCATAGATGGATTGTGAGAAATATAGATAGATTGATACAATCATAGATGGATTGTGAAAACTAAAGGATGGATTGTGAGATCTTTATGATGGATTGTGAGAGATGAAGGATGGATTGTGACAAACATAGATGGATTGTGAAAATATGAGTGGATTGTGAAATATATTGGACAACCTATGAGAATTGTAGGATTGGTTGTGAGAATGTGTCTATGATGTGCTTGTTACCATGGCTCATGGCACGCTATAGTGCACACATGAAATACAGGATGGATTGTTATCAGCCAATCTCTCAGCTGACTCCGCAAAACAGCTCTTTAATGTAAAGAGCAACATCTGGCTGGAGATGACCTTGTTATTGACAACTTGGGAAACATATCTGTCCCGTATACCATAGACTATAAAACTGTTATGCTATAGACAGTTTTTATGTTGCAGACTGTTTATCAATATTAAATGTTATTTCCTGTATAAAACTTAAATATAAGAATTTATTTTAATGTGAAATTTTGATTGAATTTAAATTTTGAAACTTTCGGAAAAAAAATCCTGGCTGCTGACATTACATGGATGCATGGTCCGATGTTCTTCATGGAGGTACAATATGGCGTTCCTAGATGCTGATGTATCAAGTGGTTGGTCCGTATCGTCCGTACAGACATATGAGAGCCAGGTGCACAATGACAGAGCTAGTGTTCATATGTGATAAAGCTATATTCTTATACCTTGTGTTATCCTATAAGCCCCAAGTTGTAAGGTTGCAATATGCTGTATTGATTATCAGTCAGGTCACGGAGAGGACACCGCTTGCTTATCTTATCTCTTTTTGCATATGGCTGTTTTCAGGAGTGGATTGTTTTAGAGTGAGTGAGTTGAGTTCAATGCTGCTTTGGACAATTATCATATTATCAATCATCTTGCTCCAAAGTGGGTTGACGTCATTTCGGTGATGATCATTACTGTGGCCATCACTCTGACACACCAAGGACAAGACGTATACAGCAAGCAGCAGGCTGTTGATCGTATAAAACTGAGTGATATATAAGTAGCTAGCGTGGCGATACCATCAGTTTGACATCAGTTTGACGTACTTTTTACAGCTGTATTTGGTGTGCGAGGAAGTTACAGGATTAACTATGATATTTATTGACAAGTTCTTTATGAAAGCCAGGTAAAGTCGTCATCATCATGTTCAAGATTTCTGCACTGTTATAGTGACTTGTATACAGGCATGTATGTGGCTATCTGTAGTTGTTTATGTTAGTTCTATAATGCTAGCATACTGATATACCATGCTACAGTTTGTATGTCGATACCACTCAGACACATCATGGGGACTCCAATCCGACCAGGCTAGCTATTCTCGAAATGTTCGTAGCCCTACAAGCTTCTTAAGCGCATTCTTAACACATTGGCAATGATCAAAGATAAGAATTCTTAGGGCTATGAACATTTCGAGCATAAGGGCCCAGTCCTTGTTTTATTATGGTAATACCGAGCACAAGACAAGGTAAAAGCAAATACTATCTTTAATGCCAGTTAATATCATGCATCTAGGAGACAAACCACCAATCCGCTTGGAGACCACAGAAGCAGTTCTTTGAACCAGGGACACAGAATATTTGGCAAAATACAAAATATTTTGAATTTTATATCATTGTCTTTTGTAGAATATTGTTTAATTGTGTTTGTGAACATTTACCCGGAACTGCTCATCTGTGTATGACCATGGGATGACCTTGAGATGGTGTGTTTCAGAGCCACCAAGTGTGAGCTGGCCAAGGTGATGAACAGGCAGACGTGTTACCAGGACATCCTGAAACAGAAGGATGAGATCATCCTTGACCTTGACGAGAAACTGGGACAGTTGGGGCATGGGGATCAGGCGTATGACAGCAAGAAGAGGTAGAGTATGATTCATGTACTCCAAACAGTAGATTGTTCGTAATTCCATGATTGGCTAAACTGACAATATATTCTTTTATCAATTTGACTAATTCAGCTACATGGATTTAATCATTGTGCACAACTAGTTTTTATGTGTATTTTGGGTAGTCATCATCTTATTTTTATCAATATCTGGTTTGCAGAACAACCAAAGTATCAAAAGAGTTTCAGGAGAGAGTTCGAGTCTTACAAAACCAGAACCGTTTCCTGAATGAAGAAGTGAAACGCCTGGCCAAACTACGCAGCAGCGATCAGACAGTCTTCACGGAACAGGACAGGTAAGTCTACAGGAGACTGAATGCCATATTGTATCTGTAACACACATGTAGTAAAATGTGTTTTTTTAAACTGACTGACTGAGTTTGGTTTTACGCCGCTTTTAGCAATATTCCAGCAACATCACGGCGGGGTACAACCAGAAATGGGCTTCACACATTGTACCCATGTGGGGATTCGAACCCAGGTCTTCGGCGTGATGAGCGAACCACAAGGCCACCTCACTGCCTTCGCAGTGTTCATGAAGGGACATTTGCACTAATGTACAGACAAAGCTAGGGACTTTTTAGTTATTTCCCACCATATGGATGTATATTCTGAATATTCCCCACTGTTTGTTCAGCAAGTTGCATGGCCTGGAGGCAGACATAGAGAAGTGGAAGTTCGACTATGTCTCCCTCATACAGTCCAGCATCAGATTCACTGGGACAGACACCATGGATGATGCAGAGTTGTCTCTCTTTGGTGGTGACAGGGTGAGTCAGGAACTGAGGGATTCTGGGTACTATGCATGGTGTAGGAGAGAAGAGATGCTTCTTGAAAGGGCGACCATAACTATTTGTGGCCATTTTGTACCTAGGTAGTTAGGTTGATCAAAACTATGAGTTCAACTGTCAGTGCTACCCATTAGTTTCAATTTTCAAACCTTTAATTTTACATTTTACATTTTACTCCTTTGGGCTTGATAAAAAAGAAATAATTGTTTACTGTATTTTTAATCTCTGAGAAATATATTTTATTTGTAATACCCAGTACTGCTGGTTCTGATTTTAACTTTTTGTTTTTCCAGCACAAGATCAGAGTTCAAAAACTTCTCGATGAAGCCAGGAAGATCAACCCAAGTCTGCCCACATATGAAAGGTATTTTACATCAGCTTCATAACATATGGAAAAAATGTATTAACAGGAGTTATCTCCCTTAGAATATAGCCTATTTCCAGCAGCCACAAAAGGACTGATAATGTTTTGTCCTTACAATGAGGGCTATTTCCATATTGACTCTTTGTACATGTATATTCTTAGTCATTTCTACAGTACAATGGTCAGTGATGACGTCATTAACTTTGTCCTACCTTGAACTAGCTGATACTACTTACTCTAAAACTATTCACAATGGTAATACACAGCAGATGTGCTTGGTTTCCCTGCTCCGGTGCAGTAATGTTCTATATGGACCAATGTTCCGTAATAGTAATAATAATAATAAGTAGTCTTGTCGTCATTAATATTGATATTGCGGGAATATTGATCTGCATCAATGTGTCTGTGTCCATCAATGTTTCGTGTCCATCAATGTTCTGTGTTCATCAATGTTCCATTTCCATCAATGTTCTGTGTATCAATGTTCTGATGTTCCATGTTCCATCAATGTCCTGCATGTTGTAGACTGGCCAACCACGATGTCCATGTGGACTGCTATGGTTTCCAAGCACCAGTTTGATGTCCCTGGACTGCTGTATGCTTCACTATCCTGTATCCATGTCCTGCATGTTGAACTCGATGTCCATGTGGACTGCTATGGCTTCAAGCACCTACCTGCTTCACTACCTGTGCCAGGGCAGCTCACTACCTGAGGAACATCGAGGAACGCCGATGGAACACCTACCTCAAGCAGCATGCCAAGAACATCATTAAAAATGTAAGGAAACGTTTTGAAGCGGAATTTTACTCAAATAATGAAATGTGTGTTGAATATGATAAACAAATTTGATGAACTTTGTATCCCAATATGATAAAAATGCAATGAGGTGGCCTATCAGGAATTACTCTTGGTAAATCGTATATTGGTATATAAAGGGTGGCTTAATTAGGCATTGCTAAATTCAAACTTTAGCAAATGGAAATGTGTCTTAAACATGGTTTAAACTTTTATTATTTTAAGTATGATATCATATGATGAAGTTATTGCCCCCAGTGCCCCCTAGATGTTAGTAGGATATGTTTGAAGGACTTCATCCTTTCACTCCTCAGTGAACTGGCAAATTGTGTTGCAAAATCCTGACAGCAAACTAGCAGTCATTTTCAAACAGATTAACTTTTGTTGTTGGCGATAACAATATATTATCAATCTAAGAAATTATACTAAAAACACTGTTACCTGATAGGTCAATATTCTTGATGTTATTTTACATGTGGACTGACCACTATGTGGATGAATTGTCTATGATGTGGACTTATCATGTGTGTTGCAGAAGAAGAGTTTGAAGCATCTGTGTCGCGGTGGCATACCAGACCAGTATCGGAAACAGGTGTGGCGGCAGCTCGTCCACGACCAGGTGCAGGATGTCATCACGGAGAAGGGTCCACACTACTTCCGCAATCTCTGCAACCTTGTCCCAGACTCACCGGTAAGCTACAGGATCTGCTGTAATCTGTAGGGTGTTTAAGTCAGGGTAGGCACACTAGATAGGCCATCATTCCCATTGATCTTTTCTCGGACATCAATGAAAGTCTGTCATAATGTGTAACACTTCCTGTTTGGTCAGACTGTGTTGTGAGGGTATAAAGATGTGTGACGTGAAGGTAGTGACACCGTGTTTGTTGTTCCCAGCTGGCTGCTCGATACAGGAAGCAGGTCTCCCTGGACCTGATGCGGACCATGCCAAGTAATGTCAAGTTCGCCACTGCAGGATCCAGAGGGGTGAGTTGTTATGGCGATTGATGGATGAACAGACACCTGCAAAGTACATGATCATGAATAGAGAGTTTAGTTTTATGCCACACTCAGCAATATTCCAGCTATATGGTGGCGGTCTGTAAATGATCGAGTCTGAACCAGACAATCCAGTGATCAACAGCATGAGCATCGATCTGCGCACAACTGGGATAGGATGACATGTGTCAACCAGTCGTTGAGCCTGACCATCCGATCCCATTAGTCGCCTCTTACTGAAGGTTGCTGAAGATGAATTCTAACCTGGATCTTCATGGGTTTGATCATGAATAATGATGATGATAAAGAAAGCAGTAATGATTGTCAAAAGTGTTTAAATTTTTGTATGAAACGATTCATCTCCCCCTGACAAAGTATGAAATTTCATGTTGCAATAGATTTCCAGAATAAAATATCCTTACATACAGGGTCTAAAATAGTGAGAGTGATATTTACCCAATGAGACTTGAATGGGGAATGGAAGAAAGTAATGATGGTTGTTGTGATGGTGTATGGTGTCCTTCTGTTGTGTGTGACCTTCACCTTTGTGTCTCAGATCATGGACATGCAGGACATCCTCCTGGCTTTCTGCATCCACAGCCCCTCCATCGGCTACTGCCAGGGCATGAACTTCATCGTCGGCATGGCGCTTCTCTTCATGGATGCACAGGATGCTTTCTGGTCAGTTGAAGTTTAGTGGGCAAATATTTTGTAGAAGGAAGCTGGCAAAGTTTGATTTCAAGAATGATGTTTGTTTAAGTATTTCTATTGGAACTTGAGGCTATGTTGAATCCCATGGGGGCGGTGGGGTAGCCTATGTTGAATCGGTTGAATGACATTGACAATGTGGAACATGTTTGGATTCGTAAAAAAACTCAGTTGTTGAATCCTCCAATGGAAATTCAGGCAATGTCAGGCATGGGAATGTTACTTTATAGTTGCACTTACAAAATATTAATTCACTCATTTTAAAACCTGTCTGATTCTGACACATTGCACAATCTCCAGGACCCGTAAACCTTGACAATGTCCACACCCATGCCCATACTGACATCTATACTACCAACACCCCTACCCATCTGTACCCACAACATCATCCATGTCCACGACCACCATCACCCCCAACCCCACCACCCACACATAGCTCCACTGCTACACCACACATCCACCCAGACACCCAGCCTCACCCCTTACCCACACCTATACTACCAAGATCAACACAACAACCCAGGCCACATCCACCCAAACATCCACCTGATCCATGCCCACCCCACCACCCTCACATAGCTCCACTGCTACACCACACATCCACCCAGACACCCAGACACCCAGCCTCATCCTTACCCACACCTATACCACCAAGATCAACACAACAACCCAGGCCACATCCACCCAAACATCCACCTGATCCATGCCCACCCCACCACCCACACATAGCTCCACTGCTACACCACACATCCACCCAGACACCCAGCCTCATCCTTACCCACACCTATACTACCAAGATCAACACAACAACCCAGGCCACATCCACCCAAACATCCACCTGATCCATGCCCACCCCACCACCCACACATAGCTCCACTGCTACACCACACATCCACCCAGACACACAGTCTCACCCCTACCCACACCTATACTACCAAGATCAACACAACAACCCAGGCCACATCCATCCAAACATCCACCTGATCCATGCCCACCCCACCACCCTCACATATTTCAAGTACACTAACGCTCCTGTGCCTGAAACAGGACTCTGGTGGCCATCACGGAGAGGTACTTCACCCCCAGCTACTTCGACCACAACCTGGTGGGCGCCCAGGCTGACCAGCTGGTCCTGAAGGACCTCATCAAGGAGAAGCTGCCCACACTGTCCAGACACCTGATGGAGATCGACATAGAGGTGTCCACCGTCACCCTCAACTGGTTCCTAGCTATCTTCTTTGACGCAGTTCCATTCCAGGTAAGTTGCTGTTTGTATTTACATCAGGTCGGTTGTCCAGTGATAAAGATCCTCAATATCTCCAGGGCTGTCATTTCAGCAGGTGGGGTAGCATAGTGGTTAAAACACTTGCTCATCACGCTGAAGGCCCGGGTTGGATTCCCCACATGGGCACAATGTGTGAAACCCATTTCTGGTGTCCCCTGCCTTGATATTGCTGGAATATTGCTAAAAGTGGCGTAAAACTATACTCATTCATTCATTAATTTTAGCAAATTGTCACTAAATCTTGAAGCAATTCCTGTGAATTCATACAATCTCAAATTACCTGGTCTTGACTTTCATAACCTTACACCAACTTATAAACATCAACAGAAGGAAAGGGTAAGGGAGGTAACTAGTAGTGCCTATAAACCAAAGGATTGTTAGGGTTTGATTTTGATTGTCAGTGAGATGGTTTAGTGAAATGCTAGCCCTGGACATGTACAACTGACTGGCTGAGTTGGGTTTTACGCCGCTTTTAGCAATATTCCCGCAATATCACGGCGGGGGACACCAGAAATGGGCTTCACTCATTGTACCCATGTGGGGATTCGAACCCGGGTCTTCGGCGTGACGAGCCAACGCTTTAACCACTGGGCTACCCCACCGCCCCTTGGACATATAGAGGAGGCGTGGGTGAAGTGCTACCGCATTATTGTCCTCACACATCAGTAACTGTGGACACCCAATCCTTCGTAGACATGATTCTATACCAGATTGATATATATTTACTTATTGCAGTACATTGTTGTGCGGAATTGTGTCCCTTTGATTTGGCAGGATCCTTTACAATCAAGGGTTCATATCAAAGATTTTCTCTTGTTACGACCCCTGGGTTTATTAGCACTAATGATTTCATCAAAGTGATAAATTTCTACAGCCTTTTTCACTTGGCTTTCCTTCAGCAATCATCTGACTATTAAACCCAACTCACTCACTCACTCATTGTGTAGTATTCTACACTAGATAGTACAGGAGAATGGATAGTCTGTCTCACAGTCCCTGAACCACATTATTTTCCCTACTGCCTAGCCCTCCCTGCTGTGCTAAAGCCCTATATGAAGCAAGTCCAGATTTCTCCAGGTTCGGGAATCTCTGGTCTTACTGGGGCTCCTTTTCAGTTTAAATGGGTTTATTTGTTACAATCAAAATTATATATATTCAGAGACTAAGCGTTAGTCTAGAAAATGGATAACCTTGCTATGCCGGGGTTAGCCATGCAGTCATCCTCCACAAGTTTGTCCTTGTTTTGATGACATTATTGGTGTGGCTTGTTACATGATGTGGCTGCTAGCTGGTGGGACATGTCGGGGACAGGGGGACATGTTGGGTCATGTGCTTTTTATTTGGACAATTAGGCTATACTTTGTGTAGATAACTACACTAGGACAACATACAGGCAGCTCAACGTGTTCTTGCCATTTAGTCTTCTGTACATTTGTCTCACTGTAAAGGCTGGATCAATGAGTGAGTGAGTGAGTGAGTGAGTGAGTGAGTGAGTGAGTAAAAATATTTGAATCAGAGTGAATCTGGTTGGAGAGAACATCCACATCTAAAACCTCATATATTGAATATTTTATCATTAATCTTATTCCTCAACCCAAAGAGTGAAAACACAAATCTGAAATGCACCATATCTATTTTTCAGCTCAATATAAACTTAATTTTTCAACAAGAAATCATGCAATGACAATATATTTGTTGTTTAATTACTTCTTAAGCAAGACATGTAACACCAACTTAAACACATGGCAATATATTGTGCTCATGATATCAGCCTCTGGTTTGCCTGACCTAGTTACAGACCACCATGATATCATCATCGCTGACTGCAGTGTTCGCTCATTCATTGTACAAGTGATACACCTAACATGGCACATCATTTAGTCTACACCATGAGGGGCGGTGGGGTAGCCTAGTGGTTAAAGCGTTCCCTCGTCACGCCAAAGACCCGGAATCAATTCCCCACATGGGTACAATGTGTGAAGCCCATTTCTGGTGTCCCCCGCCATGATATTGCTGAAATATTGCTAAAAGCGGCGTAAAACCATACTCATTCACTCACCCACTCCATGATACAGCCATCACCTCTGTGCTCTAAAAGTCACAACAACGATCCAACTCACCCATCACTCCCAAATTTAATGCTTTTATCTGGGTTTAGATTTATTTATTGGGAGCAACATCCTCAAGGTTTATCTTTCAGGTCTTTAATGATTGCACTTAAAAAAATCTGTGCAACACAAGCCTCGCCTTTGTGTGGTTAAAGACATGACATTGCGGTAACTCATACATCAAATTTATGGCCCTCGGCTCCGTAGAACAATTGGAGGGGTGACCCCTGGGGCTAGGAGTGACCCCCAGGGGTAATATGACAGTCCTGGTGTCCTGCGGTCTGTGTGGTCGGTGTAATGTCTCGTCAGTGTTGCCTCAGTTTCATGGTGGCGGAGGAGGTAATCTCATTGATACTGACAAGGGAAAGGCTGCTCGGAAACAGCCATAGTTCCTGCCATTGTTCTGTCCCATTCATACCTCAGATATATTTATCTTTTCAACATTTACTGTTTATTGCTGCGTTCACTTTATTTTCTGACTTTTTGTTAAGCTGTAATTGGTTACTACTTTGATATGATTATGTCTTTCAGGAATGTCTGTCAAAAGATTTCTTTCTAATATATATTCATTTCATTTTCACCTGTAAGAAGAGTAGTGATTTTTAAGGTAGTTTTTTTGTTAAGAGGGGAGAGATTTGGGTTTGAGATAAGGACTTTTTTAATGTTTTGTATCACCAACACACATATATGCCACATTTGTTTGTTTCCTCCGAAAGAAACTAGTTCATGCTTCACAATTTGAATAAAAGCAGTTGTGAATTAAAATTCAACTTCTGGATATTGAATTATTAAGATTAAGTATCTACAAGAAAAGGGCAAAATATTCTTCTCTTAAAAATGCAAAGAAATTGTGAAAAGTTAAATAAACCAGGGACTTTTTTTGTCTTAAGATTTATTTTGGAAGTCATTTGTTAAACATACTTTGATTTAATAATATATTCAAAATGTCCCTGTTCATCTGTCCATTGTTATCAATGAAGACAATAGTAAGTACTAATATATATACTGTTATATTGTTATATTATGTTATTGTTCAATCATAACTGAAAACTGCAAATTTACAAACTATTTACTATCAAAACCAACATGAACTGCCGCAGCAAAAATGTTATATATGTTTTAACATGTGCGGGATGTGGTGAGCATTATATTGGAGAAACTGGAATGCAACTAAAGGACCGAAGTCACTGTACACAGACAACAAATTGAGATCCTAATGTGCGATGTATAAATGTAAGCAAACACATTGATGAATGCGGGAATGGCCAGTTTACTATCTGTCCGTTTTATCAATTGTTTAACAATGATAAACAATTACGGATGGAAAAAGAACAAATGTTCATAAGGCTGTTTAAACCTAAGCTTAATTCAAAAGTATAATTTTGTAACTTTCTCAATGTAACTCAGTATGTATTTGTGCACTGAAACCATAATGCATACGCGTCCACCACTATTGTTTCTAGCTATGACGTCAAAAACATGATGACGTCAGAAACATAACCTTACTGTCACCCATGACTACGTTTTCGTCTCCCGCTATTGTCACTAACTGTAACGTCATACACATGATGACGACATAGCTATTACCGTTATGTGTCGCCTATGGCGACACTCAGCTTTCATTGTACACCTGAAGAGCCGTTGAACAGCGAAAGATCTTGTGCAGATATAAAGGAGATTTGACAAGAAGAAATATCTGGTTCATATTTTATATATATGTACTGGTATATATATGTTGCATTTCATCATGTAATGATTGGAAGGTAACACAAGTTTCTTCATCTTCATCTTTATCACCTTCATCTGTGACAATATAATGATGTTAATCAGGGTTATGGACTGGGATGAAAATCTAATAATTACATTCTCCTGACCTGACAGTATGTGTTATAACAGCTGTTTGGTTGCCCGGGCTGTGTTACCTCCCTTGGATTCCCTAGATGATAACAGTATAATGCCTCCTTCACATTCAGATACAATGTTACACATTATAACACACCGTCACAACCAACTCATCATAGTGCTCGACCCATGTGTTATACTGTTGAAATACATAGCCTTAGCTAGCATGGTAGCCTGGGATATCTCTGCATAGTAAACAATTTGAAATACCCTGTTCAGACAGTGATAGTAAGACATGCCTAAGAGACTTTTTATGGTAAAATGTTTCAACATGCAGAAAGGTTTTAGAATTTCTTCCCAATCTATTATGATGCCTAACTGGGCCTTTGTTTCTTATTAATGTAAACCCCTATTATTGCAATATTTCCATTAGTTAAGCATCAGAATTGTTTATTTCTGTGTCAGAATTAGATATTTGTAACATTTATTGTCTGAAGCAACGGAAGAACAGGACTAGATTATCAAGGGTGAATCTTCAATTGTGTAACTATTTTCGCCACCCATGTGAACAATGACCCTGGGTTATCTCCCCTTTCGGAGGGCCTCCCATAACGAGGTAATAAGAGCTCTAGGATTAAAGCCCCTCAGAGAAGGTCAGCAATGTCTGTTTATGTTTAGATTGTAAGTCTTTGTTTATCACTTCGCCATCCTGGGGGGCCTCTGTGGTAGATTGACTGCCTATTGTCTCATGGTGGAAAGTCAGATGTTTCCACGGAAGGTACAAACACAGTTAGAACTTTGAAGAAAAAAAGGGGTTCACTGCTTTTTAGAAGCACTAAAAATTAGAAAAAAAGAATGAAAAATTATGTCTGTTATCCAAAAATTAATAAAAATTAATGTAGTTATTAAGAAAAAGTAAACATGCCACCAAATGATACTGGTATTTTATGATATTTTTACCCTTTTTTTTACATCAACAGGGCTAGAAGGCTGCCCCCTTTCCCCATTACTGTGCTGAGTATA